TTTGTTTTAATCCTTTTTCCTTAGATTCCTCATATCATTTTTTATAATTGCTTTTATATTTCTTGCTTGCCTTAACTTTAGGATAGATCATTTTTTTCTCTTTTTTTTCTGTGTATATATTTTGCAAATTTTAGTAGTTTTAAGGTCTTGTGCAAGTTTGTATGCTCCTAACACACATACCTCACTGTCACTTAGCTCACACACATTTTTGAGCTCTATACCCGAGATTTGGAAAACCATAGGATTAGAAGGGATTTCGATGATGTTATTGTGAGGCTTTTGCTTCCCTGACAGTCATTGATTTCCCACTCGGATTGTTACTGGGTACGTGACTTAACATATTGTGACTTCTTTGTCCCTATGTTTAAGCTCATGAATCTGGATCCTTATCTATATCATAAGGGCAATCTGGGAACCATATTTAATGAGGGTCTAGATCTATCCTGGAAATTGTTCACTAATAAGGTGACCCTAGTTATCCCCTGAATTTTTTTACCTTAAAATATACCTAATCCTTAGGTTCCACCATGTAGGACAAATGGGAGCATTTTTTTACCTTAGAATATACCTAATCTTCATGTTACATTTTTTTCTCATGATAGACAATATTCATTTCATGCATCCAATACATTTCCATCATCCATTACCATGCTCATCCTTTACCATATTATTTTATCATAGTATACTATCGTCCATATCATGCATTTATATGTTTCCATCACGTATGCATTTTGCTTCAATTTAGGTTGCAAACATGTCATCATATTTAGCTTTAGGTTGCAAACATCCTGCATCATGTTATTTTTTCTTATCTTTTTCTTTTTCATACTTGTTAAAAAAGAGAGACAAGATTTAGAACCATAGTACCACCAAGGAAAAGCTATACCAATCAAACCTAAGTTCATAACATCAAATCTAGGATCAGAATGGAGAAAAACAATCAAGAGGGGAGAGATATGTTCAAAGAGGTAGAAGAAATAAGAGAGAGACTGAATAAGATAGAAGAACATTGAATGGCATACAAGAATTTCTCAGTTTGCTAATGACCGGGGCACATACTCATGTATCGACAGGGTTCAACTCGGGGATTAATTCTTCTTAAGTTCAGAAAGACAAGAAGAAAGAAGCCTGGATAGAGAAGATTAAGGAAAAGATCAAAGCCATCCAAGGGGCATGTTCTTATGGATCTCTTGGGGTAGAAGAGTTATGCTCACCAATGGATGTTGTTATTCCTAAAGACTTTGTTGTCCCGAATTTTTCCAAATACGATGGAAATACCAATCCACTTCTTCATTTGAAAACCTATTGCACCAAAATGACAACGTGGTCCAAGGATGAGAGGTTTCTTGTTGGTTTCTTCCATGAGAGTTTGACTGGTTTATCCCTAGAATGGTATATTCAACTAGATCATTCTAAGATATCTTGCTGGAAAGATTTGGCAGACATGTTCATGAATCAATATCGATTCAACTTGGATATTGCTCCGACTCGAGAACAGTTAGGGACCCTGCAAATTGAGAATGAGGAAACTTTCAAGCAATATGCCCAAAGATGGAGGACTCTCGCAGCACAAGTCCGACCGCCATTGATATTATCAGAAATGTGTTCTTACTTCATAGGAACTTTGGGGTCTCTCCATGTTGAGTCAATGGCTGGCGTTTTATACCAAGACTTTGCTGACTTTATAGCTACCGGATAAAGTATTGAAATTTTGGCTAAAGCAAGAAAACTATCCATACAGAGTCCAACCGATCCAACGAATGAGAGCTTGGAATGAATCATGTAGAAATTTGATCCAATATTTGATGTGATTGTTTAGTTGTACTATTTTGAAATTATGTTTATTTTCTTGAGACATCATCTGGAATGAGTATTTGCATTTTCTTTCCTCTTTCATTTTTTTTCCATTCTTAACCTTTTCTTCAAATCCAATTGCTCATTCTCTTACTTTCTACCTTGTGTCTTCATGCTAGCCTTACAAAAAACTTTGCCACAGTGTTCTAAAAAAAAGAAAGAAAATTGTTAAATTTCATTAATTGGTTACTGTGATCTCTTGATGAAATCAACCATTGAATCTGATGCCATAAATGAGGATGAAAAGGAAAGTAATGAGCCCAAGAAGATAATTGCGCTACTAAATCATCACGACTTAACTCCAAACAATTGTCAGATGAACGGTGCATTTGAAGTAGCATGTAAGGGTATTGAAAAAGCGTGTCAAGGATTGGTATGAAATGCTACCATACAATACCACTCTCTGTTTGCCTCTACCAATCAACTCTGACAGTGACAAGAGATCTTAGGCCAAAACAATGATGAATAAAAAAAGGAAAAAAAAGAAAGCAAGAAGCCCGTTAGATCAAAGTTTCAAATGAACGGTCTAAGCAAAAACCAGGGCAGATCAAAGAAGAAAAAAACTTGTTAGGATGGAAACCCAAAAGGGCGGCCTAAGCAAAAATAAAGGCAAAATAGACATATGTATCCTCAAGAAACTCTTCAAGAAGACACTGGGCAGAACTTTATTTCAACGCTACACTGGGGCAAAATGACTAAGATCGGTTTAAGAAGAATGTGATTATGAATGTAGGAACAGAGACATTGGTTGAATCATCAAGTGGTCACACAGAATTAATTTGGTGAAAATTCAAGAAATAACACTGGGGCAAATTTTTGTGTTTCTCTCATAATCTTTCTTCTACTATTCCCTTTCCTCTTCCATAATTCTTATCATTTTCTTTCTCCTACCTTGTAATTTCAATTTTCATGTCAAATACATTCAATTTCTTTGTATTCATAAAAAAATTTCCTTTTCTACCCATGAATATTCATAAAGTTTTGTCTCAAGCAAATAAATTTATGTTCAAAAATGCCAGTTAATAATTCTTTGTTGTCATCCTTCAGTTTTTTTGGTTGGCTCAAAAGAACTCAGGGCAGCAAAAAAAAGAAGAAAAAGAAAAAAAAAAGGAGCTCGTTAGGCTGAAAACCCAGAAGGGCGGTCTAAGCAAAAGTTAGGGCATAAAGAAAAATGACTAAAACTGGGGCAAAGTGTTTGAACTCACCCTTTGGCCATGCAGTTGGAAATTCACATTCATGCTTCAACTTATGGATGTTGAGTTGGAATTTTTGTCAATTTAGCCGCTGAAACTGGGGCAAATTTTGGATTTGTTTGAGTCATTCAGGATATCCATGGTAAAAAAAAAACAGAAGGAGAAGAAAGAAAAAGGGAGAGGAAACAAAATAAGAAAAAAATATGGGTGAAAGAAAAAATAAAGAGAAAAGAAGATAAAAAAATGTGTGACATGTAAGAAAAATGGATAAATTGGGTCCTACGATTGCGATGTGAACAATAGTTTGATTGGTCATAGATTTTCCAAGTTTCCATTTCATGTGGATATTGGCTTAAACCAAAAGAGAATCAAACGAAATTGTGTTCAATAACTCCAGTGTGAATCGATTCTTTACTGGGTCAAAAAAAATCCAAAATCTCAAAGTTTGAAAATTTCAAAATTTTCTGCATACATTTTCATCTCACATCATCTTTGCATATCATAAAGGAAAAGAAAAAGAAGAAGAGGAAATCTCCAAACTTTAAAATTATAAGGATTTTTGCATTACATGACATGCATTGCATATTGCATCATCTTTCCAAAAAAAAGGTAGGACTTTAAGTGTATTTGCATTAGGTGACATGCATTGCATCTGGCATATGCCTAAAAAAAAAACTCAAAGTTAGAATCCAATTAAGATTGTTTGGGCGGATATAGCTTCTTGCTTTACACTAGAAAAAAAAGTGAAAAGGAAAACAAGGTAATCATGTCAAGCTGAAGAAGTTTGAGGCTGGTCTGAGAAAAATACTCTGGCACAGTGTAAGCAAAAATGATTGGAGTTAAGCAAGGCAAATCTCCTTCAGTACATCCTGCTATACAATGGAGTAACCTTCATCTAACTTGATCAACCAACACAAGGGAACTTTTGAAATGCTCAAGTCACCAATACTGGGGCAAAAATTTGAATCTTCTCATCATGGTGTGAACATGGGTTTGATTTGATAAAACTTTCCTCGCATGAGCTTCGATCTAGGTATCTGTCAAGTCAGAGGTAAGTTTCTAAACTCAAATCTCTCAAGCAGTATGACCTTTTGTATATATCTTCATGCATTTCAGGCTCAAAGGCCTAATCATTTCATTTCGTTTTCAAAGACTCATTGTATTTTAAACTTACGTCATTTATTTTTGAGCTCAAAGGCTCATTGCATTTATTTTTCAGGCTCAAAGGCCTAACCATTTCATTCCAAGCTCAAAGGCTCATTGCATTTCAAGCTCAGAGGCTCATTGCATCTTCAGGCTCAAAGGCCTAACCATTTCAATTTCGAGAACAAAGGCTCATTGCATTTAATTTTTAAGCTCAGAGGCTGTAACACCCTCCCTTGTATGCATCCAAGAGAGTTGTTTGCTAAGCGGATTAGAGTTCTTTAATCGTATTTTAGAGACTGGAAATCACTCTTACAATGCCAATTAAAAACTAATAATTGAAATCGAGTTCGTCACAAAATCAGAGTATACTTTCAAAATTTCTCAACTACTGAAAATATAACTTTCCTGGCAGACCTTGCTGTTTTAAAAATTCGTATAAAATTCACTTCAACGATTCAAATAAATATTCTTTGTAATCTAGAAACTAGACATCCAGGGCTTCGCGTTCATATACAATAATAGTAATTTGAAGTTTGTTTGCCCCTCGAAACATAACTCGCAAAATAAGAGAGAAAATAGTGGAAATATCACAAAAATCCTGGCTGGTAAAACTCATAATAAAGCGATCTTTCAAAATTTCTTTGCAAGGTTTATATATAATGAAACTAGACACCTGGGGCTACGCGTGCATATAAATTATAAGAAAATCGGAGGTCCGTAGCCCCAGTACGACAACTTACAAAGTGCTCGCAAAGACTTTTCAAAACTCAGCATTTAGATAACATGTCAAAATCCTTTTCGCAAACGTTTCAACATCTGTTTCCAAAATACTTGCTGGTCATAAAATCGTAATGCAATAATAAAATCATAGTTCTCAGTAATAAAAGCTTCTCAATTTCATACAGTCATCCATAAAATATCACATCAATAGCAGCATGCCCAAACAGTAGAAGCCAACAGCAAATATCCAAGTCCTCAAAAGCTTTTACGTCCTCCTGCCATTTTGTAAAAATAGCAGCCCCAAAGGGGTGAGAGAAAATCCCAGTAGTGTGGCAACAAAACCATAATGCAACAATATTAACTAGGCACAAAATCATAAATAGTCACTTCAAACATTTAATCCTTTTCATCATATATCATAATGCGTATATAACGCCCTTTTTCCTTTACGCTCATAGCACCGTCGTGCGCGTAGCATCACAGTGGATATTCCCAATGGCTCCCATGAAGGTGAATCCCACTGTGGAACCTATGCGGACTGAAGCCAAGTGTCCCCTCTCCTGGTACCAGGCATTCCTATATGATGCATGCTCAGTCACATGTCCTCAATACAAATATATATATATTCAAGATGTCATGAATCAAGTATACGTGCCATGTTATGCAATCGCACCCAACAGAAAAATGTATTATGATGTAAAATGCATGCATATATCATATCATCCTTTCATATTCTTACCATTGGCTCATCATCACCATAACGTACATAGAACAAATGTGAGCAACACATCACAATTCCATACACTAACCAATAGTCACAGAAGGTAATACCGCCTACACATACTTTGTGTGCCACAATTATTTATTAAACAGCAGCAACAATCAGTCCACACTCAAAGGTTATTCGCACCTAAGCAAGAGTGCAGTTAAATCAGAATTTTACTCATACGATTCAACAAATCACAAACAAATATGCCCTGCCTCCTAGTCCCTGTACTTATTTGGTTTATCATGCCTCTTTTACTAAATCAAATTCTGATTTTATATTCATTTAATAACTCATTAACCGCAAAAGAACTCAAAGCTTCGAGTCTATATAAATTCGGTTCTAAACCACTAACAAGGGTTCTCCAACTTTCAGTTACACAAGTGCCAAATTCCACAACTCCTTATACACCTAGGTTCGGTTTTCATTATCCAAATGCTTATAATTTTATCCTTTTACATAGTAAGCCCTACACGGTTTTTAGGCCCTTCTTTAGTACATTTATTCTCGGTCAGCAAAATACTACTAGCTTGACCTAGGCATAAGCTAATAGACCATTTACATATGATCCATATAATTTTCAGCATTCTGTTTACATACAATAAAACATGCTAGGCTGTTCATTTATTTTTTCTAGTTACAAGGGCAGTCCAACAAGCTAATGACCACATCCAAGTTCATAAATTTTCGCCTTGGGTTTAAACGCCTCTATTCCTACGGCAGTTTCAAAAGACACATTAAAGCAAGGGAAATTACCAATTTGAGATATCCTCCTAATCACATATAGTGGCCAAACCATTAAGGGATAATTAAGGATTTGACATGTGACTTACTTTCAATTTGTGCTTATAAGCATTAATTTCTAGGGCTGACCAAGTTAACAGAAATTAAAGAAAGGAATAACCAGGATAAAATATCCTCCTATGCCACAAGTGGGGGCTGAACCAATCAAAAATCAAGGAAGCTATTTTTCTAAATTCACCACACATCAGTGTCGACTTGCAGTCCAAATTTTTGGGCTGTTTGAATTGGGCAGGGTCTAATGAGTAATAAAAAAAAACAACCAGAACATTCTCCTACCCAAACAAGTGAGGCCGAAAGGTGTGAGCAAAAGGGGCAGAATTGACAAGGCTATTCCCTTATAACAAACATATAGATCGAATGAGACAGAGAACAACTTGAGGACAGAGTACTTACTTCCGTTCAGACATCCAAGCTTAACCAGAACCACACTCTCCCATGCCCCCAAGAAGTCGCATCCCGCAGCATGCAGTGGATGGAGAGCCTCAAACAAGGCAGAGCCACGTTCAAGAAAAGGGAAGCTTAAATCAGAAATCAGTCTAAACAAAGAGGAACAAGAAGGCCACGAGAATTCTGTCTCACCTCCTCAAAGCTGCTCCTCGGCCGAACAAGGGAAGAAGGAGATGAGTGTGCTTAGGAACTTTGGTTACCCTTCTATGCACACATGGTTAGAGGGAGGAGATGAACGGAGGAAATTGCAGAATCATACTATGTGTTCTCCTCCAAGTGCCTCACGGTTTTGAGGGGAAAAGAGGTTGAGCTTGGTCATGGCATGAGGGTAGCAAGCATAAAGCTTAGGGTTCCACAACTATTGCATGGAGAGGTGATGATGCTGCCTTAGATTTTTTTGTAAGTAATATGAGAGGGCAGAAGGAAATGCAGATTTGTGTTGTGGTGCTTCTTTTAATTCCACGGCTTTCAGAGGAAAAGAGGTTGAAGGATGGAGGTTGGTTTTGGTTCTGCGTTGAAGGAGGAGCGTCCCTTATTCTGGGTTGGGGTTTCTTCCATCATTCAATGTTCAAGAGTTTACTGATGATGAGGATTTTGTTCTAAGCCAATACAAAGGGTTCTCACAGATTTCTTATTTTAACTCATTTGTTGCAAGAGTCCAAGTGCAAGCCTTTTCCATTGTGCTGAGCGTACCAAGAGAGGGAGACAAAATGGATAGGATAGTGAGAGTGGATGTGTGCTTATCAACCAATGGAAAAGCATGCATATAAATTTGGACCAATAGGAATTTTGCATTCAGATTTCACTCATGATAATTTAATGGTTGGGTTATAAATTTTGGGTTCACTCAAGCCTTTCTTTTAAGACCCTTGGGCCAAAGCCTTAAAGTTAGATGGGTTCACTTTTCTTCTCTCATGACCTTTAGGTTATGAATTCAGATTACTTTGTGATAAGTCTAAAAGGTTAATTAGGCTTGGGCCGATGTAGTTTCCTCTCCATTGCTTTGGGCCGTAAATTAAAAGGCTAGGTGAAGGCCCAATCTCATCATCTAAGGCACCTTATTTCATCTACCTTAAATTTATTTATTTATTTTTCTATCCACTCTAATCATTACATAGAATATATATATATATATATTACAATTAAGTTAATCCTATCCTCTTAAGTTAGAATCCCAATTCCTAAACATATACTCTCACCCCAAAATCATATTTAACATAATTTTTTATGATTTAAATTCAATTCCACCCTATACATAAATTGGATTTAAATTTCAAGCATGCTTCACATCTCTATTTGTAAGTTGAATAATTTCCTAATTATGCGGGATGTTACACTCTTCCCACCAAATTTGAAGTTTGTCTCCAAACTTCGTCCTACCATTTCTGCTAACTACTCAAACGAAAGCCAAACACACATGCACTCATGCAAGATATTATATCACATACAACCTGACAGCTATCAAAATCATTAATTAACTCAGGACATTACAAATAAATCGTACTTTACAAGTTCATTAGAGAATATATAATAAATCACACTCTTACGGAAGGAATAAAAACTTTCCTAAGCATCATCACAAACAAACAATTGTCTGGTTTTCTTTAAATAACATCAATTCATATTGCAATAGAGACGGAGTACAACCCACATATAATCTTAATCCATGAAGAACTCTAATTATCCCTAAATCCCAATGAGACTCAGTGCTTTATTACATAATTAGTTGGTAACTAACAAATCTACTTGCACCATAATTCTTCACTTTATAAATTTTATAGATGGTTGTTAGAAAAAAAACGACCACCTAAGTTTCCTAATTCATGGTCTCCTTTAGGGCCCAAAAAATATACCCTATTCTCTGCCTGTATACATTGGTTGTTATCCCTTAACATCATTATTTATGCTCCTTGTTTCTTATGTGTGCTCGCATCAAGAACTGTTATTTTCTTATTTATTCCTCAGCTATACTTACCATACTGACAATGCATGTAATTACCTTCAAGATGACCCTAAAATTGTATGCATGTTAAGTTGAGAGTCAACAATTCAGTTCACCAGGTTATTTCACAATTGATAACACAAACAAAATGTTACAATCCCGAATTAGACAAATTTTTAAAACACCTAGATGTACTTGCCTATTACTCGTGCAGACAGAAGACGAATTGACTAGGACCATCGATAACAGTCATTTTATCTTTGCAGTTTACATGATACAAATTTAGAATTTTATCCATTCACTATTTATTCCTTGCATAAGACAGATTTCAACTCAGTAAACGCTTCCAACTAATTACCCGACTTGACAAACATAACGAGTAAAATTCCACAATTTAATAGTCTACAGAAAACTAGCAAGTAATACAGAATGCATCATATTCCAAATTACAATGTAGAAGAGTATTCATAAAATCACAAAGTTTCATCACAGCCAGAATTCCAATAAATGTTCTTATTTTCTAAAGATCTTAGACCATCACTATAGAGACATAAAATTTCCAACATCAATCAACTTAACAGCACAATATTTGCTACTATCTTGCGGAAAAGGATTCACATTGAGGGGCAATACTTTTTGTCAAAGGCTTAGGGTTCAAGAGGTAATTCTAATTAACTTCTCCCTATGAAGCTGAATTAAGGACACAAGTAAGGGTACTACGATTCCCACGTACTAACTTCTAATTGTTATGCTTACCAGAGATGTTAAACTTGTTCGTTAATTCTATAGCCACTGTCTAATATCTTTCTAAAAGTAATAACAACTATGTCTATCCTTTTACAACATACTCAACAAAAATCAGGATACTAAGCAGTCATGTATGCAGTTAATTAATTCTAGCATGCTCTTCGTACATATCACGTAAGGTGGTACCTCTCATACAGCTCGTCAAAACACCCAGATGAGGAAACTTCCTCGAGCTTTCCGCTGTCCTAGGTACCTCGGATGTAATTGACTCCACTGATCAGAGGATCCATGGACTATGATATGAACTTTCCGGTCATTACACACGTTATAATTTAAAACCGCTACCAATCATAATTCATCAAATAAACCAGACTTTCATAATTCACATACACAATACCCATATTCAACATCTTAATTACAATTAAATATTCTCTTTAGAGTCATAAATAATACTAATAAAATACAATCACTAACAAAGTTGTACTTTTCACATCGAACTCAGTTCTAGTACTCTTCCTAGGATATACCACACATAAATCTCCAACTTCCAGCATAAAATAAAATTCACAAAAATCAACTGCTCAAAAAGAACAATTAACTCAACCAGATTCACCAAAATAAAAGTGTCTCACGTAGCAATTAGATTATAACAGACATACGTATCCAGATCATGAAACACATATAACTTCTTGGGCACATCACCTAAACCGATTTTTTTTTTCTTTCTAAACATAACTACTATAGAGTCCACATTCCAAGAGGTTAAAATAATTTAAGCAACTCGTAAACTCACATTCTGATATATTACCAAAATCCAATTTCAAATATTTCTTTTTAATTGCTAAACCCAACAAGCTAATACCCAAAGCAAATAATATATTTCATAATTTCAATTTATCAGACCTACGACCCCTCATTAAATTTTTATCCAAACAAGTTAATCCCAAGATAAGGTTTTCACATATTCAATTTATCAAACAGAGACCACTCAGTCTTAGTACAACTTAACCATTAATTCATTACTACGTCTGCTCATATGGTTCTACCAATTTTAGTTTACTTGCTCCAATTATTCAAGTCACTCCCTAGATTAATTGCTCACCTAATTTCTAACATCTGTATCAAAACCACCAAACAAAACTTTTTCATTAATTGATTCTCGGTGTTTGACAGTTTGATACTACCGTGTTACCGGAGAATGTGTTGGCCAGACCCATTCCCAGTCACAACTGGAGTATCACCTAACCACACACTGGGAATCGACAAATTCCATACTTCGTTATTTATTCTTCCTTCAGGCATTAATCAATTACAATCTACCACGCATCAGACTTCTCTCTTGAGGAGGTTTTCGTGTCTCATAGATGCTAATTCTACTTTCGTCATGCCAAGCAACGAGCGGATCCTACTCACCGCATGACATACACGATAGTAGTTTTAAGATTAAGACATGGTTCCCACTTCAAGACAGAATCTCAAATAATCCATTATACAAGTAGACAATTCACACATTTTCCATTCAACTGCAACATAACACAGTCAGACAACTCTTGCACCATTTAGTAGCAGCAAACACTTCCAATCAAATATTTCAATGCATAATATGGACAGCATAACCGAACAGGGCATATAATAAAACAGAACATAATATACGGCAACCTGAACAACATCAATAATATCAACAGCAAACCAGTCAATCAATGGAACAGGTTAAACTCAATTTCTCAACCAGGCTACACTTATTACTGCACAACTGCCTTCTACTTATCAGGTCAACAACAAGGTAAATCTATACAATACAGTCTACATTTCAAAAAAACCAAACAGTATCTCACACAATTCGCGAGACTCAAAGCTGCTCCAAGTAATCAACGCCACAAAGTGATTTCAGAATATCTCAGGATGATTCTAATATTTCAATTATACTAACTTTCACAATTTAACAGAATAATTCAGCACGTGCCAATCATGAGTCAGACAGTAGAGTGATTTAATCCTAACAGTCAACAGCCAATAAACAGTTAAATTCAAACAGCAGTGAAGAAACATACTCATACAAAAAGCAATGTTTAACAAACAGCAACCAATGCAACAATCACACACAAACACCTTGGATCCAAACTGCTCTGATACCAATTAGTGTAACACCCTCCCTTGTATGCATCCAAAAGAGTTGTTTGCTAAGCGGATTAGAGTTCTTTAATCGTATTTTAGAGACTGAAAATCACTCTTACAATGCCAATTAAAAACTAATAATTGAAATCGAGTTCGTCACAAAATCAGAGTATACTTTCAAAATTTCTCAACTACTGAAAATATAACTTTCCTGGCAGACCTTGCTGTTTTAAAAATTCGTATAAAATTCACTTCAACGATTCAAATAAATATTCTTTGTAATCTAGAAACTAGACATCCAGGGCTTCGCGTTCATATACAATAATAGTAATTTGAAGTTTGTTTGCCCCTCGAAACATAACTCGCAAAATAAGAGAGAAAATAGTGGAAATATCACAAAAATCCTGGCTGGTAAAACTCATAATAAAGCGATCTTTCAGAATTTCTTTGCAAGGTTTATATATAATGAAACTAGACACCTGGGGCTACGCGTGCATATAAATTATAAGAAAATCGGAGGTCCGTAGCCCCAGTACGACAACTTACAAAGTGCTCGCAAAGACTTTTCAAAACTCAGCATTTAGATAACATGTCAAAATCCTTTTCGCAAACGTTTCAACATCTGTTTCCAAAATACTTGCTGGTCATAAAATCGTAATGCAATAATAAAATCATAGTTCTCAGTAATAAAAACTTCTCAATTTCATACAGTCATCCATAAAATATCACATCAATAGCAGCATGCCCAAACAGTAGAAGCCAACAGCAAATATCCAAGTCCTCAAAAGCTTTTACGTCCTCCTGCCATTTTGTAAAAATAGCAGCCCCAAAGGGGTGAGAGAAAATCCCAGTAGTGTGGCAACAAAACCATAATGCAACAATATTAACTAGGCACAAAATCATAAATAGTCACTTCAAACATTTAATCCTTTTCATCATATATCATAATGCGTATATAACGCCCTTTTTCCTTTACGCTCATAGCACCGTCGTGCGCGTAGCATCACAGTGGATATTCCCAATGGCTCCCATGAAGGTGAATCCCACTGTGGAACCTATGCGGACTGAAGCCAAGTGTCCCCTCTCCTGGTACCAGGCATTC